CAGCTTAGAGTTTCTTCACATCTCTTGGAAACTTCAATTGCTGTTTATTGTTGCTAGAAAAACAATTCTGTTTGTTAAATTACAGAGTATAAATGGAAGTAAGTGCTGGGGCCTGAAAAAAAAAAAAAACAACAAAAAGCTCAGCATGCCCAGCATAGTGTTTAAAGAACTTAGAGGGATGAGAACTTTTTAATGGATTTGTGTGTGTGCGCACGTGAAGTGAGAATTTAATATCGGTTCTTTATTAAATAAAATACAGATTTCTATTTACATTTCACGTGATTTCCATTCATATCCTGTAGGTTGGTTTGCTTCCAGATATAATTGGTACATTTTAAGTATATATACCAATCACAGTCATCACAAAGAATTTGCTTTTTTCTTCCATTCATCTCCCCCCCTTCAACCTCTCCTTCCCTCCACATTTACAGAAGTTTTGTTTCCGTTTTTTCATTTTCTTTTGTACTTTTCTTTCCTTTTCTCTTTTTTTAAAATTTTATTTATTTATTTATTTGTGTGGGGGGGGCAGCTCAGCCCACCAGGGGGCGGGGCTGGCTGGCATGTGGTGCTGGGGGATTGAACTGCGGTCCCTGTGCTTTGCTAAGCTTGTTCTGAGTAGGTGCTTTAGACCACTGAGCCATCTCACCAGCCCCCTTTTCTCTTTTTCATTATCTTTCCCCTTTCCCTTGTTCCCTTTGTCCTTTGAACATTTTTCTTTCTATTTATAGTATCTACTACAATTTGGTATTTACTTACATTCTGGTTTCTCATGCCAGAGAAACACTGTATTTAAATATGTGAGTCCAGTTTGTTTCACTTGAGATGAGCTTAAGGTGTATCTACTTACCTAGAAATGACTATTTTTTAAAAACTACATCATTTTATCTTCATCTTCCTTCAATAAATACTCTTCATTTCAGATGTCTGTATTTAGGTCTTTAAATTTTTTAAATTGTGTGTGGGAGGTCTGTTTGTTTTGAGTTATTTATATAAAAAAGTTCTGCTACACAGTGAGTTCAGAGCCAACCTAAGTTACAATAGTGAGACTGTCTCAAAAACAAAAATGAAGGCTGGGGAGAGAGCTTGGCGGTCTAAACACCTGTCTTGCAAGTGCAAGGACCAGGGTTCGATCCTTGGTACTGCATGCTGTGCCAGCCTTGGAACCCTGGGTGTGCCATGCTGGCTACCAAAACCAGGCGTGGTGTGGTGCACACCTCTTAATTCCAGTGCTGGGGAGGCTGAAACAGGAGGATCACTATGAATCCAAGCTGCATAGCAAAACCCTATACCAAATAAATAAAAGGTTAAAAAAAATGTAAAAACCAAAACAGTACTTATTACACTGTGTTATCTTCAAATTACTCAGGAAAAGACATAACCTGGGGCCGGGGAGATGGCTCAATGGAATAAGTGCTTCCCTGGCAAGCGCAAGGGCTTGAGTTTGATCCCCTGTTCCGCCAAAAAAGGGGACATAACCAAGAAGATTCTTACAAAAAAGAAACAACACAAACTTTTCAGTGGAGTATCAGTGTAAATGAAACAAATTAGTATATGCTATTTCAGTATTTTTAAAACAACAGAACGTGTAATTTGGAGAAGTAGGTGAACTTCCCATTTCTCATAGTTTGTGCATGCGTTCTCTCTCTCTTTCTCTCTCTCTCTCCCTCCCCCCCTTCTCTGTGTATTGTTTTTCTTTTTGGGGGGAGTGTGTTTTGAGTGAAGGTCTCACTGTGTAGCCCAGGCTGTACTTGAACTGGCATCTGTCCTCCTACCTCAGCCTCCTGAAAGCTGGGATTATAGGTGTGTGATACTGTGCCCAGCATCTGCTTTATTTCTTAAAGAAAAACTGAAGAGACACTAGTTATACTTTTTTTTTTTTTTTTTGGCAGAACCGGGAATTGAACTCAGACCCTTGTGCTTGCCAGGGAAGCGCTTATTCTCCTGAGCCATCTCCCCGGCCCCATACTCTTGTATTAATTCATGTATATAATTAAGAATTGAGTGTAAAATAGTTTTATACAGAAGTACTGCTTTTTCTTTTTTAAAATCTTTTATTTATTTGGTACAGGGTCTTGCTCTGCAGCTTGGACTCGTAATAATCCTCCTGTCTCAGCCTCTCCAGGGCTGGGATTACAAGCATGCACTACCAAGCCTGGTTTTAGTGCTGGCAGGTGTGCCTAGAGTTCCAGGGCAGACATTCATTGTGGTACTGGGGATCAGGTACGGGTCCTTTCACTTGCCAGGCAGGCACTTAGACTGCTGAGCTATCTCTCCAGCCCAGTAGTGCTTTTTAATAATCATAAAATAACAGAGTTAAAAGGAAAAGTGGGGCAGGCCTAGTAGCTCAGTAGATTAAAGAGCTTGCAAGTGGGCACAGGGGCTGAGGGTTCTGCCCCCCCGGGGCGCACTGAGATGGCAGTTGAGACTGGGCATGGTGATGTGCACTTGTAATCCCAGCTCTTGGGAGACTGTAAACAGGCGGATCACTACGATTCTTTTCTTTTCCTTTTTTTTT